CCAATCATTTCTGAGGCTTTTTTCTGCACCCTCTCCAATTTCTCAACAGCCTTTTAGAAATGTAGAGCCCAGCACTGGATACCGTCGGTTTCACCAATGTCATGTGGAGATGTTCTCCTCTATTATATGTCCCGTTCTTTGTCTCTTCTCTAAACTAAACAGTCCCAGACTTTTCAATCTGCATATGGTAATCTTCCCCATTCTCAGAGCCTGTCTCGGAAATCCCCTTTCTATCTGCTTTATCTGTTAGAGACTGGGTGACAAAAACTGAGCACATATCCAGAGCAGGTTATTCTCCATCCCTTTCCTTAGGCATCTGAACATTGTCTTTGTTTTGGCCACTACTGCAAATAAGCAGGTGTTTCTGTGGAGCTGCTATCAATGATGCACAAAATTTTCCCTGAGGTGTGTTCTAGTTGGGATGTTTTCCCTTGGCACATGTCTTAGCAAAGGTTTGGGTTTTTTTCCACTCTCAGATTTTCAGTAACTAGGTGAATGGGAAACTCCCTATAGCATGGATTCTCTAGCCTGGTTTTCATTGCATTAAGGCTATGTGTACACTGGGAGATATTTTTGCCAAAAGTTTGGTCAATGACCAAAAAGCCTTTACAGAAAATCATTGTTGCACATTGACACTGTCTTTCTCTTTCGGCATAGCACATCCTCATATGGGGCAGTTGCAGAGACAGTGAGAGCAATGCACGGTGGGTAGCTATTCCACAGTTCAGCTCACCATCTTGTGCCAAAAGGTGTTGTGGGAAGGTGGAGTGGATCACAGCTCATCATGGGTTCAGGCTCAATGTTCCATGATGCGTTGTTTTCTGTCCCAGCATTCCATGTTTTCCCATCTCCAGTCGCGGCACTTCTCTGCTAGCGGTCAGTAACACATCACAAATGGCAGTGAAATCAATCTTGAAGTTGTGAAAGCAACGGGAGTCACAGTTCCTGACACGCTGTCCAACATGGATAGCAGCAGTATTAGGTTGCTTTTGACATGTACGGAACAGCTGAACACAGTGGAAAGTAGCACTGAGTGGTGGGGTCGCATCGTTGTGCAGGTCTGGGATGATGAGCAGTGGCTGCAGATCTTTTGGATGAGGAAAACCACCTTCCTGGAAGTGTGTGCTGAGCTCGCCCCAGCCCTGCAGCACAAGGACACCCAAATGAGAACTGCCCTCTTGGTGGAGAAGTACTTGGCGATCGCAGTGTGGAAGCTGGCGACTCCAGGCTGCTACCAGTCGGTCGCAAATCAGTTTGCAGTCAGGAAATCAACCTTTGGGGATATGTGATATTGTGGATGGCTTTGCAGAAATGGCTTTCCCTAACTGTGGAGGGATGATAGATGGCATGTATATCAATCGGAAGGGGTACTTCTCCATGGTGTTACAGGTGCTTGTGGATCACTGTGGGCATTTAATTGAAATCAGTGCAGGGTGGTCCAGAGAATTGCATGATGCACGAATCTTTAGGAACACCGGCCTTTACATAAAGTTGCAAATGAGGACTTTCTTTTCAGACCAGAAGATCCCCGTAGGGATGTCGAAATGCCTAGTGCAGGAGGACTGTAGAATGTGCATTTGGCAGATTAAAGGCATGTTGGTGAGGCCCTTATGACAGGTTAGACCTCAATGAGGAAAATAGTCCCATGGTCGTAGCCTTGTGTCGCACATTGCATGATATTTGTGCAGGAAAGGGCAAAAAGTTTGCTCAGAGGTGGACGGCTGAGACAGAACGCTTGGCTGCTGATTTTGGGCAGCCACATACCAAGGCTATTAGAGGGGCACAACAGAGGTCAATTCGAATCAGGGAGGCTTTGAAGCAACACATTGAAGATGAGAACCAGTAATGTTTGTTGCTATGCTTGGGACTGTAATGCATAATGAAGTCCAGTTTTGTTCAAGCCCAGGATTCAATGTAAGGAAATAATAAAACTGCTTGCTTGTTTACTGCTGCCATCTGCTTCATAACTTACATGGAAACAAATAGTGAGTGCTTATTATTCAAATAACTTTGCATTTATCGCCAAAAACCCACAACACCTTGCATACACACACAGACAAGCTCACATTCTTGAGAGGGGAAGGTACCAGGGGAGGGCTGACTTTTATTGCTGGGCGTCAATCTAGCTGTCATTTGAAAAGGTGTCTGCAGGGATGGAGTGAATGGTAAAGCACGAAGTACCAGAAATTGGAAGGAAGTGTATGGGTGGAGTCTGGGGAGGGCATGGGAAAGAGCTCTGAATGTGCTGAAGGGGCAGGCAGACATGCATCTGCTCAGTCTGGAGGGTTATGAAGGACTGCAGCATGTTGGTTTGCTGCTCCAAAACTTGTATCAGCCTCTCTGTTATGCCCCTAGCGCATGCCTCATTTCCTTTTCTTTCCTGCTGGTCATATTCCACTTCCTGCATTCCATCTTTTCTGCATCTGAGTGCTGAAGTATCTCCCAGAACATATCTTCCTTGCTCTGTCTTGGGCTCTTTCTTATCTGGTGGAGACTCTCGGCTGGGGTGAACAGGGTGCCTCCTTTCAAGGAAATATCTGGTAAAGCACAAGTAACAATAAACAGAAGCATTATTGTTAAGTACACGTACGGCATTGAAACGCTACATTAAAATACACCGCTGGTAACACACCAATCACTTTCTGGCTGACCCTTGTCAAGCACACATGCCAGCGAACACCACAAGCATCGTGAGTGTACCCAGGAGTAGGGGACATTGTGCATGGGAGAAAAGCAATGTTTAAGGGGTCATGGGGCACTTCTCAGGGGGCAATATTCTAAAGTTTCCTACCTTGTTCCACAGATGGGGGTCATTGTAGCTGATATTTCTCTCCCGAGGGTAAGCAAGGAAGCAAGTGTGCATCTACTACACACTTGTGGCTTCCTCCCCCATCCCTATGCTGCTCGCCTGTGTGCCACTTTGGTCCTTGCCCAAGTAATTGCAGAATGGCACAGGAAAGTGTCCCTCAATGGGGGAAGGAACAAAGCAGCTCTGCCAAGAAACCTCCGGCACAGGATTGTGGAGTACCTGCAGGAAAGTTTCCTGGAGATCTCTCTGAAGGATTCCTGTGACATCTCGGTGAGCATCAACACCCTCTTCCACCATACTGCCTAGCTGCACGGGAATATACCAAGTGCACAGAAATACAGCCAGACTTGTACATTTCTCTGCCCTCAACCCATCTCCATACTTCACAAAGCAAAATCACTTACCAGGGGTCTCCTCTCCTGCTTCTTGTTCACCTGATTGTGACTGCTGAGACTGGCTGGACACCTCTGGAATGGAGAACACCTCCTCACTGGAAAGAGTCCAACAGAGGGCAACAAAAATGATTAGGGGGCTGGAGCACATGACTTATGAGGAGAGGTTGAGGGAACTGGGATTGTTTAGTATGCAGAAGAGAAGAATGAGGGGGGATTTGATAGCTGCCTGAAAGGGGGTTCCAAAGAGGATGGATCTAAACTGTTCTCAGTGGTACCAGATGTCAGAACAAGGAGTAGTGATCTCAAGTTGCAGTAGGGGAGGTTTAGGTTGGATATTAGGAAAAAAGTTTTCACTAGAAGGGTGGTGAAGCACTGGAATGGGTTACCTAGAGAGGTGGTGGAATCTCCTTCCTTAGAGGTTTTTAAGGTCAGGCTTGACAAAGCCCTGGCTGGGATGATTTAGTTGGGAATTGGTCCTGATTTGAGCAGGGAGTTGGACTAGATGACCTCCTGAGGTCCCTTCTAACCCTGATATTCTATCATTCTATGATTCTATGATGTGAACTCTCGATGCCAAGCAAAAAGGAAGAGGAATTTCAAAATTCCCGGGACTTTAAAAGGGCACATGTCTTGGCAAAGGTTTGGGTATTTTCCACTCTCAGATTTTCAGTAACTAGGTGAATAGGAAACTCCCTACAGCATGGATTCTCTAGCCTGGTTTTCATTGCATCAAGGATAGCATCCGACTCCTTATAAAAACAGCAGGTCTGGGGCAACAGAGGAACCATTTGCCTCCCTTGCCTTCCGGTACACATGCCTCAGCTCCTTCACCTTTGCTCTGCAATGCAGTGTGTTCCTATCATAGCCCTTTTCCCACAAGCTGCATGAAATCTGCCTGTACGTATCGAAATTCCAACAACTGGAGCACAGCTGGGACTGCACCACCTCCTCTTCCCAAATAATGAGTAGATTCAGCAGCTCTGAAGTGGTCCAAGTGGGAGGGCAATTGCTGCATGGATTCACCGTGGTTATCTGGGAACATGTGATGTGAGCTCTCTACGCCAAGCAAACAAGAAGAGGAATTTCAATATTCCCGGGACTTTACAAGGGGGCATGGGTGGAAGGTGTTTGCCTGGATGCAGGGTAGCAGAATTGAAACTACTAAGCAGAATGGTCAGGTTGGGAATTGTGGGATGCCTTCCGGAGGCCTATTACTGTGATAAAATCAAGTACAAATGTCTATATTGGCACTTGGGCGACAAAATTTTTGATTAAAAAGCCTTACAACTTTTGTCAAGGTGGTTTTATAATCTCACTGAAACTGAGGAGTTCCGTCATCGAAAGTTGCTTTGCAGAGTATACATCTCCACTGTTTAACTGTCTTTAAAAGCTGTCTTTTGGCTAAAAAACTTTGCAGTGTAGACAGGGCATAAGGAACAATGATGGATCAATTTCTTGCTGGTTCCTATTAAGGTTTTCCACAGCACAATGTGTAGGAATTATTGAGGAAAGGAGCACCATAAAATATGGAATTGACATTAGTAGGGTGGGTTCTTCATAATTCATTTATCTGAGTAGTGAAAATGTCATTTTCAGTGTGTGAAGAGCAAACACTCTGCTTCACCCATGAAAACAGCCTCCAGTAATGCATGTAGTGTCTCATATTAACTTTGTCTCTCCACCAGGCATTTGTACTGTGACCATCACCCTAGGCACATACAGGAAGTCAGGGGAAAGTACGGTATATGCAGGAGACAACATTGTGCCTCAGCTTTGGACACCATCTCCCCTACTCCATGTCAGATTCCAACACAACCGACTTCACCAACCCCTCCACCTTCATCCTGCTCGGCATTCCTGGCCTGGAGGGAGCTCATGTCTGGATCTCCATCCCCTTCTGCACCATGTACATCATAGCCATTTTGGGGAACTTCACCATCCTTTTCATTGTGAAAATGGACCCGAGCCTCCATGGGCCCATGTACTATTTCCTCTGTATGCTGGCCGTCACTGACCTGGTCCTGTCTACGTCCATCATGCCCAAGACTTTGAGCATCTTCTGGTTCAATTCCAGGGAGATTGATTTTAGTGCCTGCCTCATCCAGATGTACTTCATTCACTGCTTCTCAACGATGGAGTCTGGAATCTTTCTGGCCATGGCTTTTGATCGTTATGTGGCCATCTGTGATCCCCTGAGACATTCCACCATCCTGACAAACCCTGTGGTAGCCAAGATCGGCCTAGCTGTGGTGCTGCGTGGCGGCCTGCTTGTACTTCCCCATCCCTTCCTGGTGAGGCAATGGCCATATTGCAGAACCAACATCATCCCCCACACATACTGTGAGCACATAGCTGTGGTGAAACTGGCCTGCGCAGACATCCGTATCAGTAGTTACTACAGCCTCTCTGTGGCATTCTTGGTGACTGGTGTAGATGTGTTTTTTATTGCCGTGTCCTATACCAAGATCCTCAGGGCCATCTTCTGCCTCCCCACAAAGGACGCCCGCCTCAAAACTTTTGGGACCTGCAGCTCCCATCTCTGTGTCATCTTAACCTTTTACATCCCAGGTCTCTTCTCCTTCATCACGCACCGGTTTGGCCACAACGTGCCCCTGTATTTCCACGTTCTCTTTGCCAACATGTACCTCCTGGTGCCCCCCATGCTAAACCCCATCATCTACGGGGTGAGGACCAAACAGATCCGGGACAGGCTGCTCCAGAGCTGGCTGGTGACATGGTGCAGGGCCCTCTTCCCTGAATCACGGACTGAACAGTCAAAGAGACATTCAGCCCTTTCTTAGCCTTACTGTGCTGTGTAATAGTGATAAACTGGGGAATCGGACTATGCACAAGTCATTAACTCATAGAGTTGTCACAGTTCTAATTACTGATAACTGGACACCTGACTCCCCCTTGCCCTGCCTCTTCCCTCAAGGCCTTTCCACCTTCTGTGCCATTTCCCCCAACATCCCACCCCTGTTGATCCCTCGTCCCCTCCTGCCATCATTCACTGAATCATAGAATTATAGAATCATAGAATCATAGAATC